TGTGGGGCCGCAGAAAATGAAGTCACGGGCCGGATTTGGCCCCCGGGCCTTGAGTTTGACACCCCTGGTCTATACCATATGAAAAAACTGAACTTTTTGCATGAAAAAGTACTGGGAAAATGTATCAAATATCATGGAGTTATGTGAGAGTTTGTAAACAGATATTTCTTATAGTTTTTATAGTATTTCTGCATTGTGATGTAGGGTCTCTTGGTTTGTTATCTAATCTATTCTATCTGTTTGTAGACCCTAACTTTGTACGCACGTTTCTTACCACGTACCGATCCTTCTGCAAACCACAGGAGCTGCTCACCCTGCTCATAGACAGGTACACTTCAGACCCTATCTGGTTTACTGAATTCCTTCTGCAGCCATAAGATCGATATCTCTCAGTGCTGTGGTTTTGTTTGTCTTCATTTATCTGATATATTCTCCTCAGGATTGAGATCCCGGAGCCAGAGCCGACGGAGGAGGACCGGCAGGCGCTTTGGAACGGGGACCAGCCGATGGCGGCCGAGCTGCAGCGGTTCAGGAAGGAGTACGTGCAGCCGGTCCAACTCAGGTACCACAGATCAATCAGGAGAGACGTAACGTTGATGTAACGATACATATGTATTGCCGGGAATACACAGATGCATGTAACGGTGTTTGGGGATTAGACCCCGTTGTGCTGGAATATCATTCGGGAGGGAAAAACCCGAATCGATGCACTACGATAGGCTTGTTGGAATAGAGGCGAAGTGATTAGCTGGGGAGTAACGCCCCCGATCACTGATTGAGAGGAGAGAGAGTACAGGGTGTCCGCGGGGTCTTAAAAAGTATTAAAAGTTGATGAATCAATTTAGCGAAAATGAAGGCTATTAAAAAGTATTAAACATCATTTTCCAAGGTATTACATTTTGTAGCTTGTTTTCAATAAGTATATAAATTGTCCTAAGAGGTTGTATTCTACAGTGTGCCTGAATGTAATCATTGCGTAGGTGTGTAGTGAGATTCTGTGTAGTTTATTTATGGCATCCCGTTGGATTTGACGTCATCTGAACAGGACATCACACGCTCACTGCTTGATAGCGCGTGAAGGTCCGTTTACGCCGGTTGTTAAACAACATCGTTATGGGGAAACGCAAGTTTGCGTCCGAATGGTTGGAAGATAAGGAGGAAGGACAATCAATACTGTATATAGTCAATGGGAGGTAAAGTGTGTCGCCAAGGTAACCGGTTAGAACTCGAAGTGGCGATGAGGTCTCAAAATGTATGGAAAGGGTCTTAAAAAAGGTCTGCAGGATTCCTGCATACACCCTGTTTTAAAGGTCGTAAGGGCCACCAGCTGCACTAAATGTGGTTCAAAGCAGGAGTATGTGCTTGCTATGCGCACAGTTTTAGATGATATGGGGAATTACGTAATTTTGTAATGTACCTAAAGTACCACAACAGACGCTCGTAGTCACGCGTCTGTACTGAGAAAAGCCTGGGCAGAATGTTTGAAAATGTGTCAACAGAGAGATCTCATAAAAAATTATGTTTTGCCATATATGTTGAATTCAGACACAAATGTCTAACTAAATTAAATGCTGTGTCAGGTTGAATTAAACCCTTACGGTCGGATTGAGACGAGGTTTTGTTTAAAGTTTGAGTCTCTAAACTTGTAGATAAACTCACCTTTCATTTCATAGAACAAAGGATCTTCGTCTCCTGTTCTTTTACTCTGTCCTCTTAAGGCCCTGGTGTCCTCAATGAGCCGCAGTCTTTCTCTTATATATATATCCTTATATGGAGTAAAGCACAAGAATAGCCTGTAAGTGAAGAACCATTAAAAACCTCTTTGTATCAAGAGCAGCTGCAATAAAATCCTTTAAGGTAAAAGGGTAAACGACTTCTGCTCACACAAAGTAAATCTCTCTAGATGGCATCAAGACGGCCATTAGGTTTGTAGCATCTTTAGAGTGTGTGCATTAGGCAACAAACACACATTATAAATCAAATCTTAAAGTGTTTGAACATTGAATAACACAAACTTAAAGCACATTGTCTTTGGGTGGTCGCTTGTTATAAACAATTGAATGTGGTCCAAACTGTTGACTTTGAATCCAGGATACTCAAAGTTTACTATCTGTTCAGACACAGAGAAAAGGACAAAACCTTCCCGCTGTTTCTATTTTTAAACGTCCTTACTTTTGAGAAGTTAACTAACAAAGAAAACACACTGACCATAAAAAACTTTTTAGATCATTTAGACCTTATTTATAGGAAAAATTTCTCTTTTCTACATTATTCCTTTGTCACGTAATGTGTTATTATTTGGATTTCTTGGTTGATTAAAATAAATACAAATAAATAAAAAGGTGCTTCCAGGTAACCGATTAATATGCAGATATTTTACTGGATTCATTGATAGGTATGAAACATTTCAGAAAATATTAAAACATGTCCATCCCACTATTTTTAAAGAGATTCCTGCATGAAAAATTACTTCAGCTGAGTGACTCGAAAGAGCAATTTCCCTACTGTAATTGATTAAGCTGTTATGGGATTCTTCATGCAAAGAAGTCAGAACATTGACAGTGCCAGGAGGGCAGATTTAAACCCTGTATTTAAAGGTCCCATGTCATGGCCATTTCTACTGATCATAATTCCATTGTTGAGGTAAACTAAAATATATTTACATTGTTCAATGTTCCGAACTCACATTGGTTTCTCATACAGCATCTCTGTATAGTTTGTATTCACTCTCTGTCCTACACGGCTTGTTGGAGCTCCTGCCCCCCCCTCCCTGTGAGCCCAGTGGCCTTCTGCGAGACAGCGAGACACAGCGAAACTCAGCCCGAAACCAGCCCGAACACACACACACACACGCACGCACGCACGCACGCACGCACGCACACACACACACACACACACACACACACACAC